CATTGTAATAACGATCAACCCCATTGTAATAACGATCAACCCCATTGTAATAATTATCAACTTCATTGTAATAACGATCAACCCCATTTGTAATAACGATCAACCCCATTGTAATAATTATCAACCTCATTTGTAATAACGATCAATCTATTGTAATAATTACCACCCCATTTGTAATAACGATCAACCCCATTTGTAATAACAATCAACCCCATTTGTAATAACGATCAACCCCATTTGTAATAACGATCAACCCAATTTGTAATAACGATCAACCCCATTTGTAATAACGATCAACCCCATTTGTAATAACGATCAACCCCATTTGTAATAATTATCAACCTCATTTGTAATAACGATCAATCCTATTGTAATAATTATCAACCCCATTTGTAATAACGATCAACCCTATTGTAATAATTATCAACCCCATTTGTAATAACGATCAACCCTATTTGTAATAACGATCAACCCCATTTGTAATAACAATCAACCCCATTTGTAATAACGATCAACCCCATTTGTAATAACGATCAACCCAATTTGTAATAACGATCAACCCTATTTGTAATAACGATCAACCCTATTTGTAATAAATATCAACCCTATTTGTAATAAATATCAACCCTATTTGTAATAAATATCAACCTTATTTGTAATAACGATCAATCTTATTTGTAACAATTATCAACCCTATTTGTAATAACGATCAACCCTATTTGTAATAAATATCAACCTTATTTGTAATAAATATCAACCTTATTTGCAATAAATATCAACCTTATTTGTAATAACGATCAACCCATTCGTAATAACGATCAACCCCATTTGTAATAATTATCAACCTCATTTGTAATAACGATCAATCCTATTGTAATAATTATCAACCCCATTTGTAATAACGATCAACCATATTTGTAATAACGATCAACCCCATTTGTAATAACAATCAACCCCCATTTGTAATAACGATCAACCCCATTTGTAATAACGATCAACCCCATTTGTAATAACGATCAACCCCATTTGTAATAACGATCAACCCTATTTGTAATAAATATCAACCCTATTTGTAATAAATATCAACCTTATTAGTAATAACGATCAACCCTATTCGTAACAATTATCAACCCTATTTGTAATAACGATCAACCCTATTTGTAATAAATATCAACCTTATTTGTAATAAATATCAACCTTATTTGTAATAACGATCAACCCATTTGTAAAAACAATCAACCATATTTGTAATAAATATCAACCTTATTTGTAATAAATATCAACCATATTTGTAATAACGATCAACCATATTTGTAATAACAATCAACCATATTTGTAATAACGATCAACCCAATTTGTAATAACGATCAACCCTATTTGTAATAACGATCAACCCTATTTGAAATAACGATCAACCCTATTTGTAATAACGATCAACCGTATCTGTATTAATTATCAACCTCATTTGTAATCACGATCAACCCTATTTGTAATAACAATCAACCCTATTT